TAAATATATATCTAAATATAAATATATATATATATATAATTATATATATATATAAAATACCCATAGCCTTCTTTAAACAATGGCTATGTAAATACATCACCGTGGCGGCTGAAGCCTTTTAGAATTCACACATAAATAGCCTGACCACCTTGTTGTTTAATTTAGAAGAAGGCTATGCACTGACAGTCTGCCATTTTCTCCTCAAAAAACTTATTTATTTACATACAAATCTGAGGACGGTCTCAAGTCACTCTCAACTCTCTTCTAAAACAAAAAGTTTTTGTCTTTTTTGTTTTGTTTTTAAAAAAGCCACACAAAAAAGAACAAAATCAGAACAAATGCCTCTTTTTCATAGTCTTCTAAAAACAAACACATTTTATTTTACAAAATACCATAGCCTTCTGTCCCTCGGCTTGGGCTCCCAATTTTTTTAATTGGTGGGGGGGGGGGGTCCAAATCGGCACACTGAGTCATTGATGACTCATCATATTAAGTCGTATCGATCTCTGATTGCAAATTTACAATAATAAAATAAATTCACAAAAGAGTAATCTGCTTTTTGGCTAAATACTACAATATGTACTTGTTGGTGCCGAATTGAATAGATCGTTTAATATATAGATGTGTAAACATTGTCTAGCAAACGTGGCGACACACGTAAAGACAAGAGCGTGTATACGAACTGTCGCGTATTGCTGTAAACAATGAATGGGAATGAGGGTGAAAGTCTTCAAACCGCCGTGGACATGCCTTTACTAGGCGAGGATGTCCACGCTGACATACTCCGAGGACCACTTGCTCAGAAGGTACCCTACGGGAGAGTGAGTATAGGTACCTTGCATCAACAACAACCACAAAGACATCATCGACAGCAGCAGCAGCAGCAGCAGCAACAACAACAACAAACCTATCATATTTCACCTCGCCATCCACATCAACAACAACACTACCAACAACAACTACAACAGCGATCACAACAACAGCAGCAGCAACAACAGCAACCCCTACAGCAGAGAGTAGATCCATGGCAACGTTTTCAGTGCATGTCGCAGTCAATACCACCCCCGCTTGCTACTGGTATACCAAATATAGGAGTGTCTAACGACCAGCATTCATCTGCGGATCCGTTCATGACCTACGAGAATATTAACACCAGAGGTCCCCCTCGGTCACCCTCCAAGCCTATCTATGCTACTGATAACTATGGTATGAAGGAGGAAGACATTTCACCGCACCTGCATAGCAGCGCACAGACCATCACACACTTCCCACATGCACACGTGGAACGCAGCTCCACTCTTCCGCCTAAAATTGACCATGTGATACGCCAGAACTCAGATAACACATTTAACACAAGTCAACATCGTAACCATGTCGCTCCAGCCTACTACACACAGTCACAACCACAGGCCACCAGTGACTCCATACACGCACAGCAACAGAGGATGCAGCACATGACAGCCAGTATGAGCAGTGGGGAACTCTATGGTAACCGGAGTGCGTATAGAAGTGGCTCGGACTTGCCGTCACAACAACCACTGCAGCGTAATGTGCACAACAGTGGCTATGATCAGGCACGGAATATGGAAGTGCAGACGGCGGAATCCTTATTTAAGTCAAGGCCCACATATCCAACACAGCCGATACACCAACAGCAACAAATATCAGCACCATCTGCCCCACAAGGCGAAGTTATATCCGGAAGATATGGTACGGATAGGGTACGTAGTATTGATGTACAGAACGCTGACAGATATGACCTTTACGAGACTCAGCTAAAACAGGTAGTCTCATCTATATGTTGTTTTCTTCTGCAAATAGAA